TTCACGCCTTCCAAGGTGACAACACCATCCTGGGCACCCTGGGGAGACACCCAATGCTGGACACGGGCCCAGAACTCTCCTCTGGGGTCTTTGCTCTGGAGTAGAGACATGGACGAAGGTTCTGCTGGTCCAGAAGCTGGGATTAGAGGCGGAAAGTGGGTGGCACTGGGCACGGCTTTGGAATTGTCCTCTCTGCCTGAAAGGCCTGGTCTCCGGGGTCCTGCATGGCTCCCTCCTTCAACATTATCCTGACCTCAGCTCCAGCATCCATTCCTCAAAGGAGATTTTCCCTGAGCAGCAGAAGCCCTTCTCCATAACCTCCCCCATCCCCTCTCTCCCCCAGGGACTGGCTCCCATTTGTCCATTCCTTTATGTCACCTTCCTCAATTTGAAGGATAAGATTTCTCTGACTCCCTTGTAGAGCTCTTTTTTTTTTTCCTTTTTTCTTTTTTTTTTCCTTTTTTCTTTTTTTTTTTTTAAAAGATCTTATTTATTTAGGAGTGCCTGGATGGCTCCGTTGTTAAGCATCTGTTTGGTTCAGGTCATAATCCGGGGGTCCCAGGATGGAGCCCCACATAGGGCTCTGCTTCTCCCTCTCCCGCTCTCCTTACTTGCATTCCTTCTCTTGCTGTCTCTCTCTGTCAAATAAAGTCTTAGAAATATCTATTTTATTTATTTATTTGTCAGAGAGAGAGAAAGGGTACAAGCAGGGGGAGCAGCAGGCAGAGGGAGATGCAGGCTTCCCGCTGAGCTAGGAGCCCGAAGCAGGGCTCCATCCTGGGACCCCAAGATCATGACCTGATCTGCAGGCAGATGCTTCACTGACTAAGCCACCCAGGTGTTCCTTCCTTGTAGAGTTTCTGACTCTCCCACTGGAATGGGAATTCAAAGCAGGGTTTGCTTACCTTGTTCATCTTTATATCCCGAGATACATGCCTAGCACATAGTAGGTGCTCACTAAAGATTTATTAACCAGGCGCACACATGGGGATGGATTAGAGCTAAGGAGCTCTAATCTGGAAACTGGGGATGCATATGGCAGGTGCGGGGGTGGGGTGGCTGCGAATGGATTGGCGATTGGGTGGTGTTAGATGCAGGATTAGGATTCTTTTTAAGGTTTTAGGTTTAGAACTCAGGCACAGCATCCCAGGTGTTAGGCCTGGGACAAGGGATCACTTGCCTAGGCAAAGTTGGGGTTGGTGTGGGATTAGGGTCCGGGCTGCGCTCAGGAATCCCTGCTTCTCTCCGGGCCCCAGGAAGGGCTCTGCAGACACTGAGGCTGGGGGAAGTGGGTCAGGGGTTAAGACTGCAAGGTCTGAAGGCCTCAGATCAAGGACTGGATTTGCTAGACAATGAGCCCTGGGAAAGGAGCTGCGGAGGACACCCTGTTCTCCACAGGTCACTGTGGATCATGGTAATCAGAAGAGGGTGAGTAGCTCTGGCTGGAACCAGCTGGTCTGTTGTGGGTGGTGATAGCTCTCAGCGCTCCTTCTCTCTTTTTTAATTTAATTTTTTATTGAGATATAATTCACATGCCATAAAATTTGCCCTTTGTCGGGAAGAAGCAGAGAGAGCGCCTTTTTTTTTTTTTTTTTTAAGATTTTACTTACTGGGCCTCCTGGGTTGCTCAGTGGGTTAAGCCTCTGCTTAACTTGGGTTATGATCCAATTATGATCTCAGGGTCCCGGGATCGAGCCCCGGCATCATCGGGCTCTCTGCTCAGCAGGGAGCCTGGTTCACCCGCTCTCTCTGCCTGCCTCTCTGCCTACTTGTGATCTCTCTTTCTCTGTCAAATAAATAAATTAAAATTCTTTAAAAAAAAAGTTTACTTACTTATTTGTCAGAGAGAGAAAGCACAAGCAAGGGGGAGCCGCAGACAGAAGGAGAAACAGGTTTCCCACTGAGCAAGGAGCCTGATGCAGGACTCCATCCCAAGACCCTAGAATCATGCCCTGAGCCAAAGGCAGACACTTAACCCACTGAGCCCTCACCCCCACCATCCCGGGGCAGAGAGAGAGATCTTAAGCAGATTCCACACCCAGCAGAGCCCCACACAGGGCTCAATCTTACCACCCTGAGATCATGACCTGAACGGAAATCAGGAGTGGGTTGCTTAATGGATCCCCTCAGACGCCCCTAAAATTCATCCTTTTAAGGTTCAGTGGTTTTGAGTATATTCACAAGGATGCAGCATCTGTCACCACTATCTAATTCCAGAACATTTTCATACCTCAAAAAGAGACCTGTAACCCCGTTAGCAGCCCCTCCCCATTCTCCTTTGCTTCCAGCCCCGTGGATTTCCCTATTCCGGACATTCCACAGAAAAGGAACCATAGAGTCTTTTGCGTCGGGCTACTTTGGCTAAGCGTCCTGTTTTTAAGGTTCATCATTTTGTAGCCTTCCCCCCGCAACCAACTTCATTTAGCCTCAGTCCCCGCATCTGGGGTGGGGCGGGTCCTGGGGTCTGGAGAACCAGGGTGGGGCCTGAGGTGTGGTGGAGGTCAGGTGTGTGTAGGGAGGTGGTCTGCTGCCCCCTCGTGGTGCCTGGGGGAACTGCAGCTTTCCCTTCTAATCCTGGGAAGGAGTGACTCAGCTCCCCGAACCCATCCCCAAGACCCCACCTCTCACCCAGCAGAGCTCTCAGGATCTCAGAACTTCCAGAACACCAGCCTGAACTGCTCCCTCTCGGTGTCCCACCATCCCCGACACTCCTTGGGTACCATCTGCTGAGTAATAACAGTAATGTCATCCGCTTAAAAAGTTCTAATCTGTTCAAATGCATATAGTCTCGTTAATGTACCGCACACTGAGGTTGCTGCTATGATTTTGAAGGGACAGGAAGCCATAGTGGTTAAGAGCCCAAGTTCCAGAGTTTGGAAGCCCTCCATTTCAAATCTCAGTCCTGCCGCTCACCAGCCATGTGACCTTCACCATGTGATTTTTTTTTTTTTAATTCTTAGGCTCTCTGTTCCCTCATGTGTAAGTGGGGCTGATAATCATGGTCCAACCTCACAGGGTGGCAGAAAGGATAAAGGGCTCAGAGCCTGGCACAAAGGAAGCCTCTGTCTATGTACCTGAGAGTTTCAACCAGTGGTAGATGAGCTGGTCAGTGTTTCACAACCAGCTCTCTGGGGGGCTGGGGGCAGGGGAGCCTTTATCTGTGGCGTTTGCCAATTTCCACGGTGTAAATATCCCCACCATGACTAATTCCAGCTTGAATTCGGTGATGTCAAGCTACAGTGATGTCCCTGAAAGTGTTTTTGGTGGGGGGAAGAGACGTGCAGTAGCACGTTATACGGTTGTATCTCTATGAACGTACAAGAGATGTAAATAACCTATGATCACAGATAATAGTAAAATGTAGTAAAACCATTAGGTTATGATGAGTATTTATTCCCTTTGTTTTCGATATAATTTATTTAATTATGTGTTTGCATAATTTAATCTTTTATAATGGCTGTTTAACAACCAGTTCCAAGATTCCTGCGACTTTAACAGTCGGCTCACTCGGGCTGACTCCCAACACGCTGCTGTTAGCATCACACCCCTATTTTAGAAAGGGAAACCGAGGCTCGAGAAGATGATCAGTCAGACAGGGGCAGGGCAGGACCCCATCCATCCAAGGGCTGTAGGATACTGGGGCCAGGATGGGCTGTGCAATGCCCCTCTTTCTTTCATCCCACCCCGGCATGGATGGTCCCCACAGTTCCGGATGACCTCAGCGAAGACCTTGCCTCTGTGGTTTCAGTTTGCCCATCCCAACAGCTGCTGATCCCTGCAGGTGAATACTTAACACAGGGCTCTTTGGCACCTGCTTCAGCCCTGCCAGGAAGGCAGCATGTCGATCCTTCCCTCACCTTATAGATTGGGAAACTGAGGTTCTGCTCTGCGTCACAGAGCGATAGGGAGAGTCCTCAGACCCCAGATGGGATGCACGGAGAGGAACCGGCTGCCACAACCTTGGGCTCTGGAGTGTTCTGGGAAGTGGGAGGCAGCATCGCTAGAGGTGGTGGTCAGGCTTTGGCGGTGGCTCTGCCTAGCACACTGTGCCCCCAGCACCCTGTGCCCCCAGCACCATTAATACTACGCTCCCAAGCAAGAACTTCCTGGGCCCCAAGACTGGAGACAGGGTGGGCTGGGAGGGAGAATGGGGACCACGCCGTCTGCCTGGCTCTCGTCCCTGGGGGCTTCTCTCCGTCTCTGTCTCCATTCTGTTCACAGGTCTCTGAGTCTCTGTCTCTCTTTGTCTCTTTTTGCCTCTCCCTCAGTCTCCGTGTGTGCGTCTCTCAGGCTTTGTCGCTCTCTGTGTCTCTGTTCTCTCTGAATTTCTCTTTGCGTGCGTCTCTTTCCCTGTTTTTCTCCCTCTTTCTTTCTCTTTTTGTCGCTCCGATCTTTTGGCTCCGTTGACATCTCTTTGTGTGTCTGGGCTTCTCCTCGCGTCTGTCCCTCTCTCCTGTGTCTCTTTGTCTCTCCCTCTCTCTGCGTCTCTCGGTATCTTCCTCCGCGTCTCTGGCGCTCTGCCGTGGCGTTTCTCTCCCCTTCTCTTCCGGTGAATCTCTGCTCTCCTGTGAGAACACGCTCGCTACCGACGCGCCCAGACCTGCCTCCACCCCCAGAGCCCCCGGCTAGCCCGGGCCTGCGCCTTTAAGGGCCGGCGGCAGAGGGCGGGGTCTCGGCGGCCCCGCCCTACCCGCCCCTCCCCCTGACGTCCCTTCCTCCCAGGCCCCTCCACCGCCTCCCTCCGCCGCCGCCCGGGCCGGCTCCGCGCCCCCTCCCCGGCCCCCGCCCGCCCGCCTGCCCGCCGCCCCCATGGCGCCCCGGGCCCCCACTGCACTGGGCCAGTAGGACCCTCGGCGTCCCCTTCCCTTCCCCGCCCTGCCCCCCTCTCCCGCGGCGCGAACCCCGGTGTCCACGGCGCCCAGCTTTTGAGCTCGCGTCCCCAGGCCAGCGGGGGGGGAGGGGAAGAGAGGGGACCCCAGGACCCCCGCCCCCCCCACCCGGCCGCCCAGTCCCCCGGGACCCGGAGAAAATGTCTTCGCGGACGGCTCTGGCCCCGGGCAACGATCGGAACTCGGACACGGTGAGTGGGGCCCAGCCCCTTGGGGAGCGCCGGTCGGGTTCAGCCGCGGAACCCCTCGTCCTGGTGTGCCTCTCGCTGCGCGAGCTCCTACCTTCATTCCCCGGGCCCGTCCCGGCTTGCCACCTCCAGACCCCCGCCTGGACTTCCAGGCCTCTCGACCCTCCCCCACTCCAGCTCAGCCCGACCCCAGGGGCGCCCCTCTCTCGGGACCCCCTCTTGTCCCTCTGCAGACCGCTTCCGCTCGGGTCTCCTCCCTCCAGGAAGCCCCCTCCTCTGCCTTCCAGGAACCCCTCCCTTCTCCGGCGTGTTCTTAAGCCCCTTCCCCTCCTGGCCGCCCGCATCCGACAACTCGCCCCCTCCTGGATTTGCGGGGCCCTTGACCCCAAGGCCCGGCCCTGGTCCTCTCCCAGGAAGGCCTGGCCCAGTCCGGCCTCTGGCTCGGCCTTCCCCATCTGGATGTGGGTGCCTGCTCCCCAGGAGCCCCCCTCTTCTCATTCTCAGCCCTCCGCCCCTCTGGATCCTCCCGGATCCTGTGGGCACCCCCTCACAGGAAGCCTGTTTCCACCTTTTCCTGGGCCCAGGGCCCTTTCTAGCTTGTTCAAGGTCTCTCCACTCCCAGGCCTGGCCCCTATCTTCCAAGAAGCCCTGTCCCTGGATTCCCAGTACGGTGCCCCCCCCTCCCCACTGCCCCCCTGGACCCTCTCTGAGCTCTTCTCCCAGGCAGTCTTGGCCTCCAACTTCCAGGCCCCTAGCCTAGTCTGGGATTTCTAGGCCCTGGACTAGTCTGACTCCAGGCCTCATCCTCCCTGTATCAACTCTTCAGCATCTGGCAAGCCCCCTCCCCAAGCCCCCAACTCCTTGATCCCCTCCTGGTCCAGGAGCGTCCTCCCAGGATACTACCTCTTCCTCTCATCCCCAGGTCCCCAGCCCTTCTGCCCCAGGGCCTTCCTCTTCCTTACCAGGGTGGTCTCACCTCCCAGGGAAACCCCCCTCCTCAGCTTCAGAGGCCTCTCCCATCTCACAAGGCTGGGCCCCAGCTCCTTCTTCCAGGAGACTCCTGGACTTAAAGCCTGGGGTCTTGCCCTGGCTGTAAGCCCTCTTCTCTTGGGGTCTGTCCGCTGGAGACCTCCTCCCCAAGTTTCTGGGCCCTTTTGACCTCCACAAGACTCAGGTTTTCTTCTTCTGGGCTGCCCTCTGCCCAGAAGACCCTTCTCCAGGACTCGCATGCTCCTGGACCTTTCTCTGCTTCCAAAGACTAGAAACTCCTAGAAACCCCCTCCTTTAACTTCTAGGAGTTTCCTCAGCTCCTCTGACTTCCACTGCCCCATGGCTTTAACCCTTTCCACTATTCCCAGGCCCCCGTCCCTGTACCACAGCCCAGAACAATCCTGGGAGGGGAGGACCCCCCCCATCTCCCCAGTTTCTCATTACTCTCAGCCCTTCTAAAGGGCCTCCCCCCACCCCCAGCTGGGGTCTTTGTTCCTTTTCCCCTAGGCCTCTGCCAGGTCCCTGCACCCCTACCCAGCCACCCTCCCTCCAGATCCCCACCAGAGAGACTGATCTCCGTCCCTTCGTCCTGCAAGACCCTCCCTCATAGAGAGCCCCACCACCGCCACCACCACAGCCCACACCCGACAGGCCAGACTCTGATTTGGAGTCTCTGCTGAGATCCCCACCCTTCCCCCCAAGTCCCTCAGAAAGTGCCAGGGAGCCCACAGGCCCGGGTTCAAATGCTGGCTCTCTCTGCCAGCCAGTTTGCGCTGTGTCCTCAGATTACCGCTGCTTCCTTTCTGAGCCTCAGTTTCCTGCTCCGAAAAATGGGGATGATCCCTTGAGTCCCTCGGAGGGGGAAGCCTGGTCCATGGGCCGTGCTCCACACCTGTCCACGGCTGTTGTGAGGAAGGCTGTGAGTCAGAGGGGCCGTGCCTTCTCCACCTGGGGCTGTCATCGGTTGTGGCTAGAGTTCATGGATCCCCTCCCTGCTCCAAGCCTCAGTTTATCTCGAAATAGGGTTGATGGAAGCATCTCCCTGTTAGGACTGTTTTCGGGAGCCAAGGAGATAATGTGAGTAAGAAGTGCTTGTCGCTGCACTCGGATTGTTGCTGTGATTCTTCCGATAAGCATGGGTTCAAATCTAGTTTCTGGCCCTCCCTAGCTGTGTGACCTCAGGCAAGTGATGTCACCGCTGTGAGCCTCCGCATCCTTATCCGTAAAATGGGGCTCCTCAGAGCACTTCCTCCTCTTTCCTGGTCCGGACTTGTGCCTGGTGGGCATTTGGGGGGGCCAGTCCCCTTCTCTCCTCTTGTCTCTTGTCCTCCCAACTCGTGTGTAAGTCCCGCTTCTCTGTCCCGCCTCACCTCTCCCTCTGGAACTGGAGGTCGCAGGCTCTTCTCCTGCTCCCTGCCGCCCCGTCACCATGACGACAGCCATGTGGGGGTCATGCCCCCCCCACCCCAAGTTCCAGGGCTCCCCCCACCACCTTGGAACTCTCTGGAGGTTCCCTAGCAACAGGCCCCGGTGTTGGGGCGCCAGTCCGCCAGCCGGGCGGTAAGGAGGGAGCCGGGCCAGCTGGTGGTGCCAGCCAATTTTAGCTCCCGCCCCCGGCCCCTGGGGGGCTCTGTCACCCACTGCCCCAGCCGCCCCTTGCAGGGGTCCCTCAAGCATGCTGCTTTCAGTGGGGTGCCAGCCCACCCCCAGTTTGGCTCCCCTGGTGCCACCTGATGGGGGTTCTTCTCCAAGCCCTTATCTCCGTAGGGATCAGGGGCCTTAGCGGCCAGGATCTCCACCTCCCTGCCCGCCCTCTTCTCCTGGGAGGAGACCTGAGGTTGTGAGGAACCCAGTGGGATGTGGGAAAGAGCTCAGCATTCAGGAGCCAGCAGGCCTGGGATCGAATCCCTAGCCTTCTGCTTCTCTGCCCTGTGACCTTGGCCGAGGTGCTCACTGCCTCAACCTTGAGGGAGGGGTCCCTGTCTGGAGAGCGTGGATGATTACTGGATCCTGGTGGGAGGTCGCCCGGTGAGGGCACCGTGGGTGGCAATCTTTCTGCGCCTCGTGGGGGAAACTGTGTGACCTTGACAGGATACCTTCTCTCTCCAAGCCTCAGTTTCTCCTCTGGAGGGTGAGGAGGTAGGTTCCGCCCTCAATGGGCTCCCAGGGGAATTAAATGGAGATGAGGTGCTTACTAGCCCGAGCCTTGGCCCGTAGTAAAAGCAGTGTAATAAAAACATGTAGGAGTGTGAGTCAGTGCGATACGGTGATGGTGAGGGACAGCAGCTCTGGGGTAAACTCTGTCCCGCTCCAGGCTTCAGTTTCCCTCCCTTAAGAAGGGGATGGTGACCGAATCAGACATCACCCCTGTTAAATAGCCATGCGAATTCCCTGTTGCCTACCTCGCCTTTCCTCTCCTCGGCTCCCTTTGTCTTCCTGCTTCCCACCCCTGCCCTGGGGAGGGCACGGGGGGGGGGCGTGGGGGGGCCGCCTGGGTCTGAGCAGAGCCCCCTGGGCTGGGGCCTCTGGCTCCCTCCACCGCCCCCACCCTGGGCTCCAGCCCAGCGCTGAACGGGAGGCATAGTCCCTGGGGCTCACAATCAGGACAGGGCAGCCTGGAGCAGGCTGTGACCTGTGGGGGAGAGCCCAGGAGGGACAGGACGGCAGGAACGGAACGTCTGGGACAGATGGGAGCATGGGCGTGGGAGACAGTGGGTCAGGAGCCGCAGCGGTTCCCAGGGTGGTGGTGCGGGGCACGGGGGAGGCCCCTGTGTTTCCACAGGAGGAAGGTAACAGTGCGGGGCTGGAAGGTCAGGGCACAATGAAAGAGTGTTGGTTACAGTGTTTGGAGTGGAATTTGGGGCAAGAAGAATTGCGAGAAAATGTTAGGGGCAGTAAGCTGGTAATAAAATGCTGCTCTTGGGGTTCAGAGTAGAATCGGGGGGGGCAGACAGGGAGGTGAGGGGTGACCCAGGGTATGTCAAGAGCTGCGAGAGACCGGGGGTGGAGTTGGACCCAGACTGAGGACACGGGTTGGGAGAGAGGGACACAGCATTTGGAAGAAAATACTGTGGTCCCAGCACCTGGAGATGAAGTTGCAGGGAGACTGACTGTTGGAGGGGAGCGAGGAGGAGCCTGATGTCTGGGACCCCGGATGCTGCAGAGTTGGGGGGTGGCCCAGCCTTTGTGTTCTTGGAGACGTCCTCTTGTAGAGAGATTTGGGGGACCCCCAAAGGCAGCGTGCTTCCCTCTGGCCTGGGTTTGGGAAGGACCACGAAGGGGCCAGTGGCCACAGCTGGAGTCAAGTGGCCCAGCCCCCGGGAGCCCCCCACTCCCCGGAGCCCCCGAAGGCAGGATCGGACGGGCGCTGCCCACCACTCACTCTTCATCTCCCCTGTCCAGCATGGCACCTTGGGCAGTGGCCGCTCCTCAGACAAGGGACCGTCCTGGTCCAGCCGCTCCCTGGGTGCCCGCTGCCGGAACTCCATCGCATCTTGTCCCGAGGAGCAGCCCCACGTGGGCAACTACCGCCTGCTGAGAACCATCGGGAAGGGCAACTTTGCCAAAGTCAAGCTGGCCCGGCACATCCTCACCGGCCGGGAGGTGAGTCGGGGTGATGGGTGGGGGGCGGGGCACGGGTGTGTGGGAGGTGGGGCGAGGTCAGACTTGGCCCTTGTTGCTTTGCTTCCTGACCTCAGGTGAGTCCCTGACTCTCCCCGGGACAGGTCAAGACATCTCAGGATTGTCCAGAAGAGTCCAAGTAGAATTGGGTTACCGTGGGAATTGCATGTAGATGAGGTCCTTATTAGCCCAGGACTTGGCCCATAGTAAAGGCTGTTTAATTAAAAAAAAAAAAAAATGATGTGGGTGCCTGGCGGGCCCATCAGTAGAACATGTGACTCTTGATCTCCGGGTCATGAGTTCGAGCCCCACATTGGGCCTGAAGCTTTAAAAAATTTTAAAAAATGATGTGGCAGTGTGAGGTGATGGTGTAGGACATCAGCTCTAGAGTGAACCATGTCCACCTCTGGGCCTCAGTTTCCCCACTTCAAAAGAGGGATGATGGCGCCATGCTCATTTAATATCAGTCATGGTCCCTGGAATTGTCAGGGACTCTCAGATCACAGGTGTTCTGTTTCTAAGAATTCACATGGCTTTTGTTTCTAAACCCGGGCCACCTCCCTATGGCGGTGGTAGGCTTTGCTTCCATCAGGTCTTACCGAAATCTTCATGAGACCACTCACCGGAGTTTTCAACCCCCCACGGTCCCTTTCTCCTGGCCTCCGGAGTAGGGCAGCATTACCACACCCACACAGACCTTGTAACCTAGATACGAAGCCTCTCACTCACACGGCGTGGTGGGGTATGACTCCTCTGTTCCCCTTTAATTTTAGAGGACACGGCTGGAACAATTTCCCCCACCTTGGGCGACCTGTCTCCTGCCCATATGCCATCCAGACACACAAAAGACACCAGGTCCCTATGGTTTTATAGGCACATTCTACCAAACATTCTGAGTTTATGCCCATCCTTCCAGAGACTAACGAAAGAGGTCCCACAGCCCAGCTCACTGTAAGTGCTGGCTGGACAATGACCAAGACGTCCAAACAAGACACGAATGCCGTTACGGGCTGGCCTGACTTGTGAACATAGATCCAAAAATCTGAAACAAAATATTAGCAGAGAGCCTCGGCGCATCAGTTAAAGAAAGCAGTGCGATGACAGAGCTGGGTTCATCGCAGGAATGCACAGTTCTTTTGAAATGGACAATTCATTCATCTACTTCGCCACATTCCCAGATTCGAGGAGGGAAACCATACAGTTGTCTCAATACTGGCATGAAAAGTGCTTGACAAAATTAAAAACCCGTTCGTGAGGATATGAGGAAAGCTAATGAGCCCTCTCCCGCATGGAGAACACACAGTTCCCCTTGTGTGGATCTTGAACTTGATTCTGGGGCCTTCCTAGAGGACCAGCTTCTAAGGAAACAGGGCAGGATTCTATAATCCAGGGGATCTGGGGGTGGCCCCAAAACCCTTTGGGAAAGCTAGACAGCTAGAGCTGAGGCCCCTTACTACCGAAAACCTTGCGGGGCTCTGCCAAAGTGCAATTCAAAGTAAAAACCACGCCATTGCAGGGTACATACAAGGAGAGTTCATTACCTTTCTGATTCTTTCCCCATGGTGACTGCTCAAAGCTCTTTTAAAACTAGGGGTGCCTAGCTGGCTCAGTTGGAAGAGCATGCCTCTCTTGATCTTAGGGTCATGAGTTCAAACCCCACGTTGGGTGTAGAGATTACTTAAAAAATTTTTTTTAAATAAATTATATATTTTTTTCTTCAGTTTTAAATGTTTATGAGGTATCGTGATCAGGCTGCATGATTCAAATCCCAGCCCACAAACTTCCTAGCCATGTAACCTTTGCCAACTACCTGGACAGTTTTGTGCCTCAGTTTCCCAGTTTGTAAGATGGGGATAATGCTAGCATCTCTACTGTGAGGATCGAAGGAGTTCTTGTTTGTAAAGCACATGGACTGAAGCCTGGTGACGCCTTGGGAAATGTGAGCTGGTTATTTATTATTTTACAGTTCAGGCATTCAAGACAAGGAAGACGTGCTAGGCGAATGGTCTGAGGTGCTCTCACAAAGGGGGCCCCAAAAAGGTCTCACTCTCACACACGTTCACACAGGCTCTGCTGTGGAATAGGATATTTCCCTGTAGAAGTCAGGGAGCGCTGGTCACAGTGTCAACAGCTTGTGCAAAGGTCCTGAGGCCTAGATCTCTGATCCACCAGGAATGGCCCTGATTGAGGGCTTCCTGTGAGAGGAGGCAGAGGAAGGATACCCCTGGGTGATCTGAGTTGAGAGGGCCTTTCCCAGCTCGAGCCCTTGGCTCTTTGATCTTTTACCCCTTCCTTCCACCTCCAGGTCGCCATCAAGATCATTGACAAAACCCAGCTGAACCCCAGCAGCCTGCAGAAAGTGAGGCCTAGGGAGAGGGAGGGGGTTCGGGACAAGGTTGGGAAGAGGGTCATCGAAAGCGCCCACCCTCATCTTTCTCTTTCTTCTTTTCTGGCCACACCCAGCTGTTCCGCGAAGTCCGCATCATGAAGGGCCTAAACCATCCCAATATCGGTGAGGAGGGGAAGAGCGTGGCCTCAGAGGCTACCAGCTGGGGCACTTGGGCAGAGGAGAGAGTTGGGGGAGAGAAGAGCTGGCTGTTTTCACAGTTAGAAATACCTGTTTTCTCTGAGCAGTATTGCTGCTCACTGGCTGTGTGACCTTGGGCAAGTCACTTAACCTCTCTGAGCTTCAGTTTCCTCCTCTGGAGTGGGGATTATAAGAGGGCCTACTTCAGGGTCACTATGGGGATTGGTTCAGAGTGAGCATTCAAAACACTCCACTCAGAGCTCAGCTGGGGGGGCTGATCTGATTCCCGTCAGCGGTAAGGACTGCCCTTGTCCTCATGAGGCAGAAGGGAGACAGGATTTAGCCTGGTCTGGATGTGGTCACAGCATTTATTCATCCACGCGTTTGTTCACTCCGGAAGTGTTAATTGAGTGGCTGCTTTATGCCCCTAGCATCTGCCCTAAGCAGGGAAGAAAACAGACACAAATCTCGGCCTCATAGAGCCGACTTTCTTACGAGAGAGAGTAGGAAAGGTGGTAAAGCAAGGCTGAGCAGTTTGGAAAATCTTGCCATCAGTAGGGAGCCATGGAGTGTTCTGGAGTAAGGAGTGTTCTGGTCAGCACATGCGTAGTTACAGAGTGTGGGGGTGGGGAGGGGTCTCTTCCCACATAACCCTGCTCCCCCCTCCCCTCCCCGGGTCCTCACAGTGAAGCTCTTCGAGGTGATCGAAACGGAGAAGACGCTATACCTGGTGATGGAATACGCAAGTGCCGGTGAGGCATCCCTCCCCGCCCTGCCCCCTGCGCCCCCCACGCCCCTCGCTGACCCCGCTTGGCCTCTGCCCTGCAGGAGAAGTGTTTGACTACCTCGTGTCCCACGGCCGCATGAAGGAGAAGGAAGCTCGAGCCAAGTTCCGACAGGTGGGGGCGGTCACGGCCGCCGGCAGGGCAGGGTGGGGGGGTTGGGTCTGGGGGCGTAAGTCTGAGTGTCTGCGAGCGGGCAGTCACCTAGGTGTGAGGATGCTGTGGTGCAGGTGTGCAGGTGCCCGACGTGTGGGTGCAAGGGTGGGCGCGGCGTGCAGGAGTGTGGCTGACAGGTGCCACGGTCCCGAAGCGTGTGAGGGGAGCAGTGTGGTTGAGGCGTGGGGGCAGTAGGTGTGTGGGAGCCCAAACACGTGGGGTGTAGCTATGCGGGTAGAGGGTATGCGTGAGGGGGCCCAGGGGTCTGGCTAAGGGGTGTGAGGGTCTAATGGGGTAGGGATTTGAGCCAGGGTGTTGGTCCTCGGCCGTCCAGATGTCCTGATGGGGCTATACTGGGTGTGTTGGGGCCGAGTGTCTCTCTGCGGGTATGTGTGTGTTTCCAGATGGGAAGTCCGGAGGGGACCCGTTGTGATGTCCTGGGTCCGGGGCCCCTGCCGGAAGGGTGTCCAGAGGTCTGAGGATATCTGGGTGTCTGAGTGGGGATGCGGGTCTCTGCGTGTCCTGTGGCATTGTCCACTGTGATTAAAAAGGAGTTCGAGGCTCCAGCATCTCAGCCTTGTGCCTAGGGGAGGCCTGGGGCCCTGGGTCTCGGTTGTGAGGAGGTTCATGGGGTCGGAGAAAGGCGGAGGGCTTTGGGGCCACCAGTAACTGACCTTCTTTTCCCTCCCCTCCAGATAGTATCGGCTGTGCACTACTGTCACCAGAAAAACATTGTACACAGGGACCTGAAGGTGAGCCCCACCCTCCACAGCACCGCAAGTTCCCCACCTCAGCCCACAGACCCCCCTCCCCACTTGTCCCTAGTCCTGCTTCCAGTCCCCTGGGGATCCCCTATAGCCTCCATATTCCCCCCTTCTCTCCCTGTGCTCCTCCCTCAGCATCCAGAGCCCCTTGACTCTTTCCCCAGCTTTTGTGGCAGAGGAAGACCAGCAGATGGGGGAGCAGGTAGGGAGGTGGAGGCAGGAGGAGACAACAAAGAAAAAGAAACAAAATGTCCTAGGACGCCTCACACGATTACGTGCGTGCTGAACAAGGACACAGGACGTGATAAAGTGTTCACCCCTCTCAGAGTCTCTGGAGCCTTGGCATCTCTCAGACTTCAGGACATTCAGGAACCTTCTAGAACTGTGGTTTTAGAGCCCCAGAGTCACATGGCCTCTGGGTCTTAACATCTTAGGCATCTCCGAACTGGAGAAGGACCTTTAAGAGAGAGAGATCGAGCCCCTGGGGCTAGCTTGGGGGGGTAGGGGGTGGGAGGAGGGACTCAGCCCACCTGGACCCCCCCCCCCCACCACACACCTCCCACTCTGAGAGAACCACACGTCTCGGGGCTTCTTGACCCAGACAAGAGAGAGAAACATTTGTCCTGCTCATTCGAGTTGCCTTGACTCCCCGTATCTGGAGCACCTCCTGCGTGCTGGGTGCTGTACCTTAAGGAAGGTCTCAAGGTATCTCTAGTGAAGGACCGGGTTTGTTTTACTATTTTCAATTCCCAGTCTGCTGTGAAAAATTCTTTTGGGAAGTACAATAAAAATGAAGTGGGGGAGAAAAAAAGTCCAAAATACAAGACCAGTTTTTTAAATTATTACTACGCTTAAAAAAAAAAAAAAAAAAGCCCACACAAATCCATTATCAGATCGTAGAAGTTTCTAGACACACTTCCTCTGTCTGCCCGGACCCTCTGAGAAAGCCCCTCCGGGCTTGGGGGTTTGCCATCACCTGATCACCTGGAGGAGGCACGCCCCCTGGTGGGCAGTTCTGGAAGTAGTTGAAAGGGACTTCGGGGATCTGGTTAGTGCGCCGCAATGGGGGGCCAGCCTGAGGGACCCACCCAGGCAGGGGTTCGTGGCTGGGTGGCAGAGCCTCAAACAGCAGGAAGATAAGTGTCAGCCCTGAGCAAGGCTGAGATGCCATTATGTTGAGGAGTGGGAGGGGGTGGGGGGTTCTCTGCCCCTGTTGGGTTGGAGGTGGGGAAGGGAGGTAGGGAGACCTCATGAGGAAGCCGGAGGTGCTGGTGGCCTGGCTGCAGAAGGGCCGTGGCTGGCACCGGCCAGATGTCGGCGACACTTTGAAGAGCAGATATGTGTGTCCACATCAGCAAGAGGCAGGCAGCTGGCGGCTCCCTCCATGCTCCAGGCCATGGCGAGGCCAGGCCTCTTTTGGAGTCTAGCTCTGCCACTTTCTTGCTGTAGGCACAAGGTGGTCTCCCTGAGGCTCAGTTTCCTCGCTTGTGAAATGGTGTTTGTAAGAACACGTGCCACCAAAAGTAGAACTTTTTTTTTTTCCACTTTCATGACTCTTGAGCAGCCAATGCTCATGTTTCTTTCTTTTTTTTTTTTTTTTTCTTTTTTTTCGTGCTGGGTAAACTGGGGCTCAGTGGGTCAGGAGATTGCCTGAGGACCATCTCCCCACCCCCAGCTCTGCAGACCCATGGTCTAATAATGGCTAATGTTATATAGCGCTTACTGGGTACAGAAGATTGGTCTAGACCTTTTAGGATTCACTTAATCCTCAGACAGCCCTGTGAGGTAGAAGCTATGATTATCTTCCTTCTTTGGATGACAGAACCTAGGCCCAGACAGATGAAGTTACTGCCCAAGGGAGTAGGGGACTGGGCCACAGTTGGTACAGGGTTGGGGTCGGGGGGCAGCGGAGCAGCTCCGGAGCCCGAGCTCCCGTCTGCCACACTTGTCCACCTTCTCGTCCCTCCTAGGCTGAGAACCTCTTGCTGGATGCCGAGGCCAATATCAAGATCGCCGACTTTGGCTTCAGCAACGAGTTTACGCTGGGCTCAAAGCTGGACACATTCTGTGGGAGCCCCCCGTATGCTGCCCCAGAGCTGTTTCAGGGCAAGAAGTACGATGGGCCGGAGGTGGACATCTGGAGCCTCGGTGTCATCTTGTACACCCTCGTCAGCGGCTCCCTGCCCTTTGATGGGCACAACCTCAAGGTGCTGGGCAGGGCCGTCGTGGAGGTCTTAATCTCCTGGGGGGGGGGATCTGCCCAGGGACCCCCAGCACCTCCCCCGACACCTGCTCTATAGAGGGCCAGAGGGGCGAGGCTGGCCTGAGGTCACACAGCAGGACCCGGGTCCCCATGGTCAGTCGTGTGACCAGCCCACGTGGACCGTGCTGTGTTAGGGTCCAGGGTCCGGGCTTCACAGCCAGCAAGCTTGGGTTCAAATCCCAACTCCCCCGCTCATTCACTCAGGAGACATTTATTGCCTGCCATGGGGTGGGGGCAGGGGTCAGGTTCTGTTTCGGGTTTTACAGATACAGTGTGAGCCAAAGACACAACAGTCTCTGTTTCCGGCGAGCTGGCCCTTGAGAGCCCGCTGAGTGGGAAAAGCCCATCACAACGGCCACCCGTTATGTGATGCCATTTCTGTGAAAAGTCTAGAACAAGCAAATCCAGAGGCAGGAAGCAGATGAGGTGGGAGTTGGAGGACAGGCTTTCTGTTGGGCAGGGGGATGAAAACGTTCTAGAACTGCCTGGTGACACCCGCATAACTCAGTGAACAGACTGACAACCTTTGACTCGGGCTCTCTGAACGGAAGAATCCCTGCCCTCGCGGGAAGGGGCAGAGCCGGGGCAGAAGCAAAATAAATCAAAGCGTCCATCATGTTGGATACTGGCCGGTGCTCGTTGGGGGGAAGAGCTGCCTCCGGGGAGACGGCCCGGCGGGCGTGGGGGCACACCGGCCCTGTTGGTCTGTCCAGGCGCGTCGTTACTGATGGAATGTTTGGGGCTTAGTCGCCATGTCCCTCTGTCCCTGAAGGGGACACACGGCAGTTTATCTCCCGAGACGGGGTTTTCTTTCTGTCCGCAGCCACGCTTGGGGAGAACCGTGGTGGTACAGTCCTGGCTGAGCTCAGATGTCCCCAGCCGCCCGGAGAGTGTCCTTGTAGCTCTTTCTTTCCCGCGCCAGTGTCTTTGTTCAGGCTCCCGTGTTGTCCAAGGTTGACCGGTGTCTTAAAAGTCCCCTTTCATCTCCAGCGGCTCCTCTGTCTTTCGTGGCCTGGCTTTGTGGAGCTTTGTGGTGCTCGGGTCACTTGTGCCACAGGGGCCCCCCCTTGGTTTGGGGTAAGCGGTGTTTCCTCGCAATGGGGTTCCAGGGGTGCGAGCAAGAGCGCTCAGGAGGTCAGGAAATTCACTGCTGAGGACAGGCCACAAGAGCAGGGGAACCTGAGTGGTGAGGAGGAGGGAGCCCCTTCCCCACAAAGGCCTCAGCCGAGCTGCTGACCCCTCTGAGCCTCGGGCTCCCGCTCTGTTCTGCATTTTTAAGGAAACTGGCCCTAGAGCAGCGATTCAAGGGCTTGCTGAGGTCAGGTGTGCAAAGCGCACACAAGTACAGGATAACAACCCCAAGCAGGAAGCCAAGAGACCGTTTCCGAAGGCTAGGCCAGCGTCTCAGCTGCCCCAGGCCCTTGTCACCTCCTGCTGTCCTGGTTTCCCCACCAGGCCCCCTGAAACCTTTCCGGGTGAAGGAGGCAGCTTTTCTGAACCTGTTTCCCCTCTTTCCCCACCTGTAAGATGGGGATGTTAAGGCACTTAGGGCCCAACTGAATGCCTGAAGCCCGGCCCCGGGACCCGGCATCTGGTTGGGACGATAGACTCGGGAGCCGCACCAGCGGTGGGTGGTGGTGTTGACAGCCCAGTGGCTGCTTCTCGCCAGCTCGTGAGGGGGGCGGTGTGGTGCGGGGTGGTGACGCGGCGCAGGCTCCGGAGCTGGGCCGCCTTGCCGTGTTCTGGCCACACACTCTTCGCGCAAGTGACTTACCCTCTCTAGGCCTCAGTTTCCCTTGTCTGAAAAAGGGGCATCATAGCTCTGCTTCACGGCTTTGTTGTGAGCACAGAGGGACCTTGCAAAAAGCACTAGAACACTGCCCGGCCCCGGGGGTAATTGCCCTACTCTGAAAGTGATACTCGTTATTATTAAATATTCACGACCCTTCGGGGTTGCACTGATGTGCAGACCCAGGAGGCTCCCAGGCTCTAGCCTCTTCCAGCCCTTCGAGGAGAATCCCCAGGGAAGGGAGCTCCCAGGCCCCAGCACAGAGCTCCACCCAGAGACCCCCTCCCCCACACCACCTGCCCGCCTCCGTTTCCTGGGGATGGAGGGGCTCTCCCTGGTCTGTGATGGCGTGGCACATGGAATTTATTTTCTCAGTCTTGGCAGGGCCCCTCCTAAAAGGCCCTTTACCTAAAAAAGGTCTGCGTGTAGATCAGTTTTCATTCTTTGAGACCGCCAGGGTCTCATAGTTCTTTGGAAAGACAGGCGTGCCTAGGAGAGGGGGGATCCGAGGGGTGGGAGGCCGGTAGGCAGGATCCCCCTCACCCCCGCCAGTCTTCCACCTTCATAAACCTCATATTGAAGTAGCATTTACTCTGGGCCACACATACGCTGGGCATTTTACTTAAACTCACTCACACCCTGGCCTGCCAAGTGGGCGCTGGGAGCCCTGGGTCCAGAGAAGGAGACTGAGTCCCTGGATGCTGACTGGCGTCGGTCCTCGCTTGTAGAATTCGCTTTCTCTGTGAGATTTCCTTGGAATCAAGTTGTATCCAGGGCTCCCATTCTACAGAAGGGGGAATCGCGGTCAGGAGAGAGGGGTGGGGTTTTGCTACCTGCTGCTTCAGTGAGGGATGGGGAGAAAGATGTGTGTGTCCGCGCGCATGCGTGTGACGGCTGCGCAGGTGGGGTGGACCCCTCCCCCAGTAAACCCGTCCCTGCCCCCCCACCCCCAGGAGCTGCGGGAGCGAGTCCTCAGAGGGAAGTACCGGGTCCCTTTTTACATGTCAACAGACTGTGAGAGCATCCTGCGGAGATTTTTGGTGCTGAACCCAGCTAAACGCTGTACTCTTGAGGTAAGCTTCAGCCCCCCGCCCCTCCCATTTCAGCCTTCGTGCCCTCCCTTTCCCTCTCCTGTGTCTGGCGTCTTAAGATCACGGTTGGGAGGGGGAGGGGAGCCAGGCAGCCCGGGAAAAGGCTCTGGGGCCCGTCTCAATGCCACCCCCAAACAGCTTCGCCCACTCCCCGCCATGCCAGTAATTAGCTAATGAGCTCCTAGGCTGATTATAGGGTGCCGGGGACCCAGATGATGCGGAGGAGGGAGGTGACATCGGGAGGCTCCGGCAGGCGTGCTGGGGCTGTGGGTGAGGAGGCGCTAGTTGTCATCAAGCCCTTGATTCTGGGGCATTAGGTCTTGGAGGTGGGGGGCAAGGTAGGTGGCCCTACATGAAGGTGGGAAACTATATTTTCCCCCAGTTTCTTCTGACATGTGTCTACCCCCTTCCTGTCCTGCCCCCAATTCTTGCAGCAAATCATGAAAGACAAATGGATCAACATTGGCTATGAGGGTGAGGAGTTGAAGCCATACACGGAGCCCGAGGAGGACTTCGGCGACACCAAGCGAATTGGTGAGGGTCAGGGAGAGCAGGTGCCCTAGCTCCTCTGAGCGACGGGCCCGGGAGCCAGGGGTCAGAGCTTCCTAGCCCCTGTCCCTCTGGTCCGCGCATGAGAGAAGCATGCAAGGCGATTAGGGAGAGCGGAGAAGTCTAGGTTCCCCTCCCTCTGCTGCCACCTTTTAACTGTGTGACCCTGGGCAAGTGGCTTCTCCTCTCGGTGCTTCTATTTCCTCATCTGTAAAACGGGACGATCACAGAACCTATCATAGGGTTGTTGTGAATATATGAAATGAGTTACTCTATGTACAGTACTTAGTTTTGACTGTTAAGACACAAAAAGAAATTACAGATCACATCTAGAAGTGTTTGGGCACAAGTCATCGGTAACCCGCATGTTTCCGGGGAAACCCCCCATGTGGGCATGTGCCTTCCCCACCAGCCTTTGGTCCCATACCCTCCAGCCTGGAGCCCTTGAACTCTTGATCCCTAAGCATTAGCCCTGAAAGAGTCCCTTAGGAGTTATCTAGTAACCCTCAAGGCCACCATCAGAGTTGGCTGCATTAATCAGTACTTTTGTGGTTGTACGAAGAGAAAACCCAAGCCCTTCTAGCTTACGCCAATAAGAATAATAATAGGCTGAACCATTGGAATCTGCCATTTTTATAGGTCAAAAATTGTTAATGTCAGCAGTTTTATATGGTTATCACCTAATCGTTGTAACTAAAAAGGCTAGGGTGTGTCGGCCTTCAGGCACAGCTGGATTCAGGTGCTCAGAGTTAGTTGTTGGGAATCTTAGCGGTGGCTTCTTTCCCAGGCAGCTCTGGCCATGGGAGCAAGCTGGCAACAGTATATACTAGCGTCCTGGACACCCCATCGAGAAGAGGAGCCATTTTCCTAAATGTTCCAATAGAAGCTCTAGGCTGGTGCCCATTGGCTACCCCTGAGCCAATTGGTTTGGCCTTGGGGATAGAATGCTCTGATTGGCCAGAGCCAGGTCGTATGCCCACCAATCAACGTGATTTTGGGTCTGGAGCGTTCTGAATGGCCAGACCTGGGTCATCTGCCTATCCTGAGCCAATCAATGTGGCCTTGGGAATGGAAGACTCTGGTCAGACCTGGATTGTGTACCTGCCCTTGGGGCTTGGTGCAAGCTGGAGTCAGCCAGGTGATCTGAGCACGGAAGGAGTGTTCTTCCAAGGAAATGTTCTGCTGCTGGCAGAAAGGGGAACGGATACTGGACAGGCCGAAGAGCCGGCGTTGCTGTGTGATGCAGAAACGAGTGGAAGGGAAGGGTCTGGGGAGATTGAACCTCCTCTCCATCCCCCTCTCCCAGAGGTGATGGTGGGTATGGGATACACGCGGGAAGAAATCAAAGAGGCCTTGACCAGCCAGAAGTACAACGAAGTGACCGCCACCTACCTCCTGCTGGGCAGGAAGACTGAGGTCAGAAGGCGCCAGGGGCATTTGGGATGCGCGATGCCCGGGGTGGAGGGACTTCTGGGGCAGAGGGAACAGAGGCTGAGGCTCCTCGTCTGTCATCCTCCTGCAGGAGGGTGGGGACCGGGGCACCCCGGGGCTGGCCCTGGCACGGGTGCGGGCGCCCAGCGACACCACCAATGGAACGAGCTCCAGCAAAGGCACCAGCCACAGCAAAGGACAACGGAGTGCCTCCTCCACCTACCACCGCCAGCGCAGGCATAGCGACTTCTGTGAGTGTGGTCCCGCACCCTTATGCGCCATCCCAGGCCCCAAGGCCTCCAAACTTCAGATCAGGGTTGTCTGGCTGACAGGCAACAAAAACCTTTGCTCAAGCCAGCTGCAGAGAAGGGAGGACTTTTGTATAAAGATGCAGGGACATTATAGGGAACTTGGAGGTGGGAACACACAGCCAGGATCAGAAAAGGATTAGAAACCGAAAAAGCATCCAGAGTAGATACTGTTCTGTTTCTTGCTTCCTCTCTGTTCCTCTGGCTTTTCCTTTCTCTCTTACGTATCTCACCTTACCTTTTTCCCAATCTTTCCCCTTCTGTCTCCATTTTAGAGAACAGCCCAAGTGATAGCTGGAATCCCTTTGGACCACCTGTCAGGGATAGAGCTCTCACGTCAGGGTTCACTCGGCTTTAAGCCATCGTTATCAAGACACAGGAGGACACATTGCACAAAACGGCTGCTGAGAGCCTGCCCTCTGGCTCTTCTCTATACTGAAAATTTGAAAGACCCTTCCTAGTGGAAAGGGGCTGGGCAGATACCTTCCTGAACCCTACATTCTGTAACTGAAAGATACCACCCACAAAAGATAGAGCTGACCGTCACCACCACAGATTAGGTGTAGAAACGTCCAAGAGGCCTCTTACCCACACGCTCCTCAAATACAAATCTTCCCAACTATTCCTTTTTTTTTTTTTTAAGATTTTACTTATTTTTGTGAGCGAGAGTGTGTGCATGCACTAGCAAGGGGGGAAGCATCAGGCAGAGGGGGAAGCAGGCTTCCCGCTGAGCAGGGAGCCCGATGCGGGACTTGATCCCAGAACCCTGGGATCATGACCTGAACTAAAGGCAGACGCTTAGCAACTGAGCCACCTAGGCGCCCCCTCCCAACTATTCTGTAAGCAGCTCCATGGAGATATAAATCACATAGCATACAATTCACCTGTTCAAAGTGGATGATTCAGTGGTGTTGGTCTGGTCACAAGTGTAGCCATCACCACAGTCCACTCTAGCACATTTTCATCACCCCAGGAAGAAACTCCATAAGCCTTAACTTGCCGTTGACCTCCGGACCCCCATCCACCACCCCTCAGCACCTGGGCAACCACCAGTCCATTCTCTACAGATGCCCCTATCCTGGACATTTTGTGCAAGAGGAATTAGGCAATATGTGGCCTTTTGTGTCTGGATTCTTTCACTTGGGATAATGTTTTCATCTACATTTTAGCGCAGACAAGCACCTCCTCCCTTTCAATGGCCCGGTCATATTCCACATCATGGATCTACCACACTTTCTTTTTCCGTTCGTCAGCTGATGGCCATTGCACTGTTTTCGCTGTTTGGCGCTTGTGAATAACGCTGGTGTGAACGTTTGCGTACCGAGATCCGCGTGGATCACCCGTGTCCAGTCCCCAGCTGTCCTTGGAGGTGGCCACTGAGACCAGTTTGGGAGAAATTTTGTTCATATATAGAGTTAATCCCTGGACAAGGCAGGGGTTAGGGCACCAACCCCCTGTGCAGTCAAAAATCCCCGTGTAACTTCTGACTCCCCCCAAATGGAACCACTAATAGCTTGCTGCTAACCTCTCTGATAACTTAGTCCATCAACACACACTGTGTCGACGTGTTATATGCCGTATTCTTACCATAAAGCAAGCCACAGAACAGAAAACGTCCTTCAGAGAATCGGAGGGAAGTGACCTCTGCAGTCCTGTAGAGTATTTATCAAAAAACATCCACATAGAAGTGGCCCCATGGAATTCAAAGCCATGTTTTCAAGGGTGGGGTTTTTATAACGATAGATACGGAAAAGAGATAAGAAGAGGGACGCCTGGATGGCTCGGTTAAGCCACTGCCTTCCGGCTCAGGTCCTGATCCCAGAAACCTGGGATCAAGTCCCTCATGGGGCTCCTTGCTCAGCAGGAAGTCTGCTTCTCCCTCTGCCTCTGCCTGCCACTCTGCCTGCTTGTGCTCTCTAATAATAAAATCTTAAAAAAAAAAAAAAAAAAGAAGGAAAGAAAAAGAGATAAGAAGAAAAGAAAGAGGGGCGCCTGTGTGGCTGGGTTGCTTGAGCATCAGATTCTTGATTTCTGTTCCGGTCAGCTCAGATCGTCAGATGGAGCCCTGCGTCGGGCTCCACGCCCAGCGGGGAGTCTGCTTGAAGAGTCTGTCTCCCTCTGCCCCTCTCCTCCCTAAAAAGAGTTAAAAAAAAAAAAAGAGAGAGAGAGAGACATAAGATATATAAATGCAATACTGACATAATCACATACCATAAAGGTAACATTCTCTTTTAAGAAATTTAAGAAAAAAAATGATAGACTTTTAAGTTGTTCATGTATAAGCAAGTAAATAGAGATAAAAAAAATCTGTACATTTCCCCTTATACAAAGGACAGCTCACCTTAGACCTCAGGCCCTGCCTTTTCTGCTCTGTAGTCCATCTTGAAGATCCCTGTGTCTTGGTACATAAGCAGTTTCCTCCTCATAGCTGTAGATGATTCCATTGTACAGAAATAGCTTGACTTCATCTGGCCATTCCCCTTTTAAGGGGCACTTAGGCTGCTCCCGGCCTTTTGTACTTAAAAAACCAAAAATTTTGATGTGGGGCACCTGCCTGACTTAGTCGGTTAAGTGTCTGACTTTGGCTCAGGTTATGATCGTGGGGTCCTGGGATCAAGCCCCGTGTTGGGCTCCATGCTCAGTGCGAAGTCTGTTTGTCCCTCTCGCTCTGTCCCTCCCCCTGCTCGTCCTCTCTCTCAAATAAATAAAATCTTTTAAAATAATAGTGATGCAGGGCGCCTGGGTGGCTCAGTCAATTAAGTGTCTGCCTTTGGCTCGGGTCATAGTCTCAGGGTCCTGGGATCAAGCCCCGTGTTGGGCTCCCTGCTCAGCGGTAAGCCTGCTCCTCCCTCTTTCTGGCTCCCCCCCCCCCCCCAATGCTTTCTCTCTCTCTCATAAATCAAATCTTAGGGAAAAAATAGCGCTGCAGTGAATAATGTACCGGGGCATCAGGTCATTTCCATGGGGCTGGGGGGGTCAGATGTGCATCTGTCATTGGGACGGATGGTGTCAGCGTGGCCCACGCAGAGCTTGTAGCCTGTGTGAGGAATTCTGAGGTTCTAAGGATCACCCAGAGTGGGTTCTGGCCTTTCCAGGTGAAGCAAGGCCTAACTGTCCCCTCCCTCCACCAGGTGGCCCATCCCCCACACCCCTGCACCCCAAGCGCAGCCCAACCAGCACTGGGGAGACGGAGCTGAAGGAGGAGCGCCTGCCAGGCCGGAAGGCGAGCTGCAGTGCTGCTGGAAGCGGGAGCCGGGGGCTGCCCCCCTCCAGCCCTATGGTCAGCAGTGCCCACAACCCCAACAAGGCAGAGATCCCAGAGCGGCGGAAGGACAGCACGAGCACCCCTGTGAGTGGCCAGGGCTCGGGGTGTGACTGCCGGGTTCACACTTTTCGGACCCTGCTGTTCCCCAGACCACCACACAGGTCTCCGTGTTCTGTCTGTTCTTCATCCCATAGACCTGTGAGCGCTCTCTCTCTGCTCGGGCTTATGCTGGATGCTAGCATATAAATTAGCCTTCAGCGTCAGAAAGAAGCACTGTCCTTGCTTTAGGTAGGCAGGATTTTGTGCAGGGAAGGAGGGTCTTACAAAGTTGTAGGAAGGGCTGGAGGGGCAGGCAGGGGATTAGACCCACAGGAAAGACACATCACACTGCAGAACTGACCCACTGAGGAGGCTGCCACCGCTGGGGCACGGTTGAATTCCAGAACACATGGTCATGACCTTAATTCAGGACTCAGAAACTTTGTTCTCTACCAGAAGGGCCCCTCGATGCCAGGAATTCTAAAAACAGGCACTGGGGCTCTGCTGAGGCAAAGACCCTCATCTCATGACCTTGCCCGTGTAAGCAGAAGTCACAGGGGACAGGAAGGCCACTGCTGCCCCATTGCCACCTTCCAGATCTTCCCAAATGCAAAGATTGGCAGAACCCATTCGACTGCAGATCCTGCGCTGTAGAGGATTCTGGGGAATGTAGTACTTGGCTCTCCTCCCGCAGCTCCGTAAGAGAGGAGGTTTTAAGACCAGAGCTTTCAATTGCATTGGTGAGCTGTGTGGCCTTGAGCGAGCAACTTCACCTCTCTGAGCCTCAGTATTCCATCCTGTGAAATGGGCTCATCGGAGGTCTTGGATAGTTGTGAGGCTCTTGTAATATCTTGGACGTAAACTAACCTCCCACAGAGTCCAGCTCAGTAAACAGTCAATATATAAAGGCTGTGGTGGTTGTTAGGCAAAAACACACCTGAAAAGATAGAAAAAGAACAGCAAATTAGCCCCCGCAACAAAGTAGAAGGAAGGAAATAATAGAAGTCAAGAAAGGAACAAGCAGAGGTACACTAGAGAAAACCAACAAAGCTACAGTCTGTTCTTGAAAAGATTAGTAAAGTCACTGAACCCCACGAATTACTAGTAATCAGAGATGATAGGAATACGCTGTCCAAACATAAAAAGACAGTAAGAAGGCATTAGGAGCCACCTTATGCTGATAAAGGTGACATCTTAGATGAAACAGTTGTCTTTCAAAACACAAGTAACTAACCTTGCTGGAGAAGAAACAGAAAATCTGAACAGTCTTATGTTCTTGTCCAAGATCTGGAATCCATAACTGAAAACTTTCGCAGAAAGAAAATTCCAGGCTCCAAGTGGTGAAATTCTGCCAGACACTGAAAGGAGAAATAACACCAACCTTACAGAAACTTCCAGAGGATAGAAAACGAGGGTTCACTTCCCAGCACATTTGGAGAGGCGGCACAGTCCTGATGGGCACTCCCTGACCCCAGGGGGGGTCGCAGTCCAGGGCAGGGTGGGGATGGGTTGTTGGACAGATATAGATGATACAAAGCGATCGAGGCAGCAGTGGGGGCCCCAAGGAGGCACCTGACGCAGCCGGCTGTATTAGGAGCCGACAGCTGAAAGATATGTAGGTGTGAGTCGAGGGGAAAGGTGGGAGGACTATTGAAGCAGGTGGGGCAGCCGTGCAAAGGCCGGGAGGAGACACCAAGTGTGCCATGAATAAGTTCGCTACAGAAAGCTTCACACAGCTGACCTGTACCCAGAGAGGGCAGAGCTAGGAGAGGAGTGGGCAAGGCTGCCCCTTGGGCTCCACCCCGACCCTCTCACCCTCAGCGCCCCTGTCTCAGCTCCGTGACCCTTAGCCTGAGTTGCCAGGATGGCTCGGTAACCTTTCCTTTCTCCCGGAGTAAATCTGTCTTGGCCTCTCCCTCGATTGTAATGAGGGAGGCCAGAGAGGATAAGTGGGGGGTTAAGGGGTGTCCCTCTGTCCCCTCACTCCATCCTGGCCATGTCTCCCATAGAACAACCTCCCTCCCAGCATGATGACCCGCAGAAACACCTACGTTTGCACAGAACGCCCTGGGGCTGAGCGCCCGTCCCTGTTGCCAAATGGCAAAGAGAACAGGTATGGTGAGCGGCCAGCAGCGGGGAGCGGGGTGTGGGGGGGACGGGGCTAACCATTGTGGGGAAGGGGTGCCGTGGGGACTGGGGAGTGTGTCTGCCCTTCCCTTGGCAGAATCTACCCGTGTCCTCTTCCCTACCCCGCCTGGCCCCCCTGAAAATCTTCCCCCTTAATTAATTAGTCATCGGCCCCAGGAAAGCAGTCTGCCCTGTTCTCCGCCTACGAGCCTTGGGAAACTGAGTTGATTTTTTTTTTTTTTTGAATGATCAATTTTTAGAACTTGAGAGAAGCCCCAGAATGTCACAGCTTCAACATCCTCTTGTTGGCTGGTTTTCAAACTAGTTTTTCTGAGTCTGCTCGGTCTCTTTCAGCTGGCATGTGAGGGAAACCAGTGCAGACTGGCTGGAGCATAGAAAGGGAATGAATTAGGGGCGCCTGGCTTGTTCAGGGGGTAGAGCATGTGGCTCCTGGTCTCAGGGTCGTGAGTTCAAGCCCCACATTGGGCGTGGAGCCTACTTAAAAAAACAGGGGGAAGGGGGGAGGAATTAGTTCACATCACCGTTCAAGTCCAGGAATGAGGAGTGGGGCCAGCTTCAGGATAATGACATTCCTTCCCACTAGGACTCCAGGGCCCGACACCAAGGTGCCCTCTGGGGAACACCCAACAAACGCGTGTTCCTGTTTGGTGGGGACAGGGTATGGAGTGGTTGAGAGCAGTGATTCTGTGGCTTCTGAGTTCTAAGTGTAAACCTTACCTTTGCACTCTGCTAGCAGGATGACCTTGAGTGAGTCTCTGACCCTTTGTTTCCTCCTCTGTAAGATGGGGCTGATGTTCTTTGCCTCTAGGATCCATTAGAGGGATCCGGTGGAGATCAAGTGCGTCCTGTGCCTGGCACAGAGTCTGTGACATTAAAATCATTTGATAAGTGAGCACTTATCTTGTGGTCATTAAATAAAAAGAATAGTGAATATTCATCAAGCAGGAACTGTGTGCCAGGACTTGGTGTGTATTTGCTGGTTGAATGCCCCTAGCGACTCTCTGAGGTAGAGCCCAGTGTCTCCATTTACAGCTGAGGAAATGAGGTTCAGAGAGGTTAAGTAACTCACCCAAGGCCACACAGCTGGTAAGTCAAAGAGCAAAGATTCGTGACTGACTCCAGTTTGTGTATTTGTAAACACTATAGTGCATAGCCTTCCAGCTTTGGTCGAGAGACGGAGCAGCAGTTAGATTGTAGGCTCAACTGGTGTAATGAGGAGACCTCAAGGGGTTTAGTCCTCTCTGATAGAGCCATCCAGAGGTAGGCAGGCAGGGTCCTCCAAGGACCCAGATTGTTCCTGCCAAACTCAACCCGAGGCTCCAGCTCTGGGACTGAGGCCACTGCACCAGCTGCTACCGTTTCTAACCAGCAAGAAGGATGGAAAGAGTGGAGCGCAAGCTGCATGCTTTTTAGAGCCCTGACCCAGAAATATGGGACAAAGTACTTCTGTTTGTATGCCATTGGCTGGAGAGTAGTCACATGACCATCCCTAACTGCAAGGGAGCTGGGAAATGTAGTCTCTGGCTGGGTGGCCATATGCAAGGCTCATACTCTTAGGAAGTTTGGTTACTGAAAGGAAAACAAGGAGGACAGATTCCAAGGGAGAGGTAGTGACATCTGTCACAGTCAGGGTTCCCTCTTTGAGATCCAGGCTGGTCCTGGGGTCCTTGGAAGGATAGAAATTGTAGGTCTGGCCCCTCCTGTCAGGACTGGGAGGGTCTGGAGGAGGGCCCTGGGACGCTGAAACCACCACTGTCCACACAACATCTTGAGACAATTAGGAAGAGTATCCTTTCTCACCTGTCAAAAAATTATCATAATGAGTTTAAGTGCCTTTGATGTTCACATCTATTCCTATCCCGAGTTTGAGTAATGAAAGTTCAGATAGAGCATTTGCAAAGTTGATTTGGTTCATGAGGTTTGGATGCCAAATGGCAAGGGATTCATCAAAAAATGTATCTGAACCTATTCAACTGCTGAGTTTGGAGAGAAGAGGATACATTTGGAGTGGGCAGTTTGAAGGAGGGATGACTTAGGAAGAAAGACGAGTCAGTAAAATAGCTAGGGTTGTATAGTACACAGCCTGCCCAACTGTGCATGGCAGCCCTGTCTCTGAGATCTAAGTTTTTTAATGTTTCTCATCTCAGGACAGGTTAGTGAAGAATCAGAAAGACTGGGGCCTTGACCTGCCTTGAGGCCCTGCTCTGACTTGTCCCTTTCTGCCCACAGCTCGGGTACCCCACGGGTGCCCCCCCGCCTCTCCCTCTAGTCACAGCCTGGCTCCCCCATCAGGGGAGCGGAGCCGCCTGGCACGCGGTTCCACCATCCGCAGCACCTTCCACGGTGGCCAGGTCCGGGACCGGAGGGCAGGGGGAGGGGGAGGCGGGGGTGTGCAGAATGGACCCCCTGCCTCTCCTACCCTGGCCCATGAGGCCACACCCCTGCCTACTGGGCGGCCCCGCCCTACCACCAACCTCTTCACCAAGCTGACCTCCAAACTGACCCGAAGGTGAGCCCCATGGGACATGGGGGTGGGGGGTGCGGTGGGGGGCAATGGGGCCTAACCTGTCTTCTACTCTGCTCTGCCTCCTATACCCCTACATTATTTCCTCCTCCTCTTCTTTCTCCTCCTCCTCCTCCTCCGTCACCCTTCACCTCCCTCCTCACACTACAGGGTTACCCTCGATCCCTCTAAACGGCAGAACTCTAACCGCTGCGTTTCGGGCGCCTCTCTGCCCCAGGGATCCAAGATCAGTAAGTCCCGTCCACCCTCCGCTGTCCCTGGCTCTGCCTCCCTGTCTGCATGTGTGACCTGTGCGTACAGGGGTGGGGGAGGTGGACTGTGTGCGCGGGAGGAGGACTGGTTGTGGGGTCTAGCTGTTCATTTTACTCATTTACTGAACATGGCCTCTGGAGCCAGACTCTTAAGGTTCAGACCCCAGCTCTGCTGAGTGACCTTGAGCAAGTCACTCAACCTTGCTTTCCTCTCCTGTAAGGGGGGATAGACATAACAGTGCCTTCCTCCTAGGGTTGTCGTGTGGACTGAACAAGGTGATAGATGGACTGAGCGTAGATTGCCTGGAAATCCTTGGAAAATTATTTATGTTTATTCACTGAGTGCCTGTTGTGTGCCTGGCCCTATCTTAGACCCTGGAGTAGAGTGAACAGAATGTATAAAATCCCAGCCCAGGCAGAGCCGACATTCTCCTCGGAGATCCAGACAGTAAATGAGTACTGAGAAGAAAACTAGAGCAGGGAAGAGAAGTGCAGTTTTAAATGGAGCAGGCCTCACTAAGGAGGTGCCATTTGAGCAAAGGCTGAAGGAGGGGTGCGTGTGTGTGTCCATGTCCTTCTCTATGTAGGTGTGCGTCTCTGCCCAACCCCTTTCTCTTCCGACTTCCAAATTCTTCAGTATCTTTCCTCCGACTTGCACTAACCATTTTGGAAGGGACGCCCCTTCTGGGCATGGAGAGGGAGTTCAGATCCTGACTCCCAGCCCTCCCCAGCCCAGCTCCAGCCAGCAGGGAGGGACCAGGACCTGGGCTGAGGCAGGGGCTGCCCAGAGTCCTGGAAGCGGTGGGTTGGGGGAGGGGGCACCGTATGTGCAGATTAGACACTCTGCCCCCCTCTCCCCTTTTAGGGTCACAGACGAACCTGAGAGAATCGGGGGACCTGAGGTCACAAGGTGAGTGCCTGTGCCTACGTCCTGGGCCGCTACATTGGCCCCCTCCCCACTTCCGAGCCTTAGACCCTACTTGTGTCCGCACCTCCCCTATCCACCACTCCCATACCTTTAGATGGGACCTGAGCCTTGTCCTCCAGGCCAGCTTCCTGAACTCTCCCTCCAACCCTCCTTCCCCTGGCCGTGCCTTTTATGCCCCGACTCCCCACGGCTTCCTCTCGTTTCCACCCCCACCCGTGCACACTGTCCCTTGAGCATCCTTACGTCCAGCCTCTTCCATGTATGACCAGCTCCTGCTGTCACATCTCCTTCCCCCCTCATCCAACGAGGCACAACAGCTGCAGTAGCTTAGGCATTACCTGTACAGCCCCACATGGTAAATAGTTTAGGCTTTGAGGGCCAGGTAATCTCCGTCATGCCTGTTCGGCTCTGCCCTTGTTGCACAAAAGCAGCCACAGGCAATACAAAAACTAATGGGCGTGGCGGGGTTCCAGTAACACTTACTGACAAAAGCAGGCAGCCCTTTACCTTGCCTGCCCTGCTTCAGTTTGATACAATCCATGTGTAAAGACCCCCATGCAAATAAAGGACCGCCCCACCAGTCCCAAAGGTCCCAGGACTGACTCTCATTGGCTGGAACTGAGTCACATGGCTATCCCTGAACCAATGCCTGTGGCCAGACGGGTGGAGTACTCTGATTGGTGGGACCTGGTCATATGCTCCTCTTTGAACCAATCACAGGAGGCGGGGGGGGGGTGGACCGCTCTCATTGGCCAGAACCAAGCCACGTGCTCAGCTTGGCGGTGAGAGGCCCAGGCGGCCCAGCGTAAACCAGGAAGACTAAGTGTGCGGTGGTTCTCAAGAGGCGCGCCCTTGGTGCTTTAGGGCCCTTTTACACGTGGCAGAGCATGTATCCTCCCTGAACCTAATAAATGTCAGCGGCGCCCCCATCCCAAGACTGCAATACTCAAAAAGCCCCCAGCAATGTCCAGATAGCCTTTGGGAGGAGGTGATGGAAGAAGGTTGCCCGCATCGCTACCACTCGCATCCCGGAATTTAGAGACAAGGCAGTGCCTGGCTGCCGCGGAGGCTGGGCAGCGTAGTCTCCAGCTGGCCAGCGATCCGCACAGCTGAACCGCTGTCACCATCCCTGGGGTAAGAGAGGGTGGCGGGCTGTGAGGGACAGCTAGGAGTCTGTCCCCAGTGGGAACAGTGGGTGGCCTCCCCCTCCTCTGCCGTCTCTGACCGCTGATGTCTTCCCGCCCCAGTTGCCATCTACCTTGGGATCAAACGGAAACCGCCCCCCGGCTACTCCGATTCCCCTGGAGTGTGAAGCTGACCAGCTCACGCCCGCCTGAGGCCCTGATGGCAGCTCTGCGCCAGGCCACCGCGGCCGCCCGCTGCCGCTGCCGCCAGCCACAGCCGTTCCTGCTGGCCTGCCTGCACGGGGGTGCGGGCGGGCCCGAGCCCCTGTCCCACTTCGAAGTGGAGGTCTGCCAGCTGCCCCGGCCGGGACTGCGGGGAGTTCTCTTCCGCCGCGTGGCGGGCACCGCCCTGGCCTTCCGCACCCTCGTCACCCGCATCTCCAACGACCTCGAGCTCTGAGCCACCACGGCCCGGGTCCCCTCCTCATCTTCTCCCTCGTCCCCTTCACCTCCACAGCACGGAGAGGGGTCAGGGAGGGGCGTCTCCCTCTGTCATCACCTCGGTTCCCGCGAATTCAACGTGGGGACAGAGACTGTCCCTCATGCTGTTCTCCGGGGCCACTGGGCATGAGAGAAGAGTGAGGGGGCTAAGCGAGGGTAGCTGGCTCCTTCCTGGAGCCTCCAGCCGGCCCTGTCCCCCCTCACCGTACCAGGGGGGCACCCCAGGAGACTTTGGGAGCAGGGCAGGGGAAGAAAGGGAAACTGAGGAAACTCTTCCATCCCTGCCCCACCCCCACCCCCGAGAGCTCAAGAATTAGGCCTTGGGCGGGGGCAGGAAGAGTTGCTGAGCCTAAAGACTGGAGAATGGGGGGGCTGGGAGTGGGAGTCAGAAAGGCAGATCCCTTCCCCTCCCCTCACCTCATGCTCGAACCCCACCCCCTCCTTCCTGCCCCAGGCTGGCGCGGGGCACTTTGTACAAATCCTTGTAAATACTCCCACACCCTCCCCTCTGCAGAGATCTCTCGAGGAGCTGCCGCTGTCACCTCCGGTTTTTAAGTTATTACACCCCCCTCCTCTTGTCAGCCCCCTCACCTGCAGCCTGTCCCCCAATAAATTTAGGAGAGTCCCCCTCCCCCACGCTGACCCCGGGCTTTTCCTTCCCTGCCCTCACCTGCGAGTGAGAGGAGGAGGAGATGGTGTGTGACTTTGGGCCAGTGGTTCCTCCTTTCTGAGCCTCGGTTTTCTCAGCTGCAGAATGGGTGTAGTGGGGGTGTGAGGGTCAAGGATGACGGTGGAGGAGGGCAGGACAGAACTCGGCCTCATCCACGAGGCCCCCAGTTCCTATATCGGTCCCCCATTCATCCAGTCACGTGCCCACCCACATGTTATACCAGACTCTAAGCCACTTCTTACTCCAGTAGTACATTTATTCAATAAACAGTCATTGACCTGTGCCTACTCCGTGCCAGGCCCAGTGCTGGACACAGAGACACATGGAGCCCCTGTCTGTGGCGGGTATGGGTTCGGACACAAAACATGAGAGAAACCGTTGCTTTGCGGAGCCCAGAAGATAGTGGGAGGGGAGCTGGGGAAATGATGCTGGAGTTGGGCTTTGAAAGATGAGTAGGAGTTGACTGGGTTTTGGGTATGTCTGGGCAAAAGTCTGGGGATAGGAGCGCATGACAGACCTTCAGGGAAATGTGGGTAATTTCCATGTGGCTGCTATCTTGGGGGTGGTGGAGAATTAGCAAGAGAAATGCTGTATTAGGACTCACAATCCATCTATACTTAAGCAAAAACATTATTCATTTATGTTCCTTAGTAGTGTGGGGTGCCTGACTTCAGGTATGGCTGAATCCAGGCAGCCGGCCATCTCATCTTGGCTTTTTTCAGTGTGATTTGAATAGTTTTAGGCAGTAGTTTCACCAGACACTCCCTGATGGCAGAGATGAACCCAGCAGTTCCAACTGCTCCTCCCTTTGCCTAGTTTCTGCACCAGAAAGTTCCTCATTGCCAACTTTTGGCACAAGTCCCAAGACGGACCCTTATTGGCGCAGAGAAGTCATGTGACCATCCCTGACCCAGTCACTGGTGCTCAGAAGCAGCCGGACCCTTGCCTAGAGCTGGTAGTAGAGGGGGTCCTCAGAGGAAAGTCAAGGTGTCCTTAGCCAGAGGAAGGAAACAGAAGCTCAACAGAGCAAAGCAGTAGAGGGCGGTGGTTGCTCACACAGGGCCTCGTAGGCCAAAGGGCCAAAGTGAGCGAGCTGGGCTTTCATCCAAGGGCACTAGGGAGCCATGGAGGGTTGTATGTAAGGAAGAGGCTTAGCATGCTGTGTTTCAAATGCCCACTTGGGACATGGTACGGTCAACCCGTGTCTTGTGTTCTTCCTGGGGCTGATAGCAAAGTCAAATGAGAAATGAAGAGTGGTAGAAACTGAGTGGTCACTGTTGAAAAATTCAGGGTTTGGGGCAGAACCGCAGTACTGTCTTATGAGTGAGGCCAGAATAGGGATCTGCTGAAAGGTGTTTCTGTTGAGTCAGGTGGCGGGCACCAACCAACTCTGGAAATCTCAATCCCTAAGGGCTTCTTGTGTGCCCAGCCCTGTGCTGGGGACGTAGTGCTGGCCAGAGCAGCCCCAGCCCTGCCCTCCAGGAGGCCCAGCTGGATTTAGTTCCAACAGTGATGATCCAAAGTGGGAAGGGCTGAGGGGGGCGGGGCAGAGGCTGGGGAAGTCCAAGAGAGTGCCTGTCCCAGTCAGGGAGGGCTTCTGGGAAGAGGAACAGCCCAGCTGCCACTGGGAGAATATGAACAGCTAGCTAGACATGGCGGTTAGGGGGCTTGTGTTCTAGGCAGACGGAACAGCTTGTACGATGCCTGGGAAGCAGGAGAGCGAGAGTACAGCAAATGGCATAAAATTTGCAGTGAGTAGAGTCTCTGGGAGAGATGAAGCTGAGATGCTGGCAGGGCCCTGAAGGTCGTGGAGAGGGGCCCGGGCTTTCTTCCAAGGACACTGGGGAGCCATGGCGAGGTTGTAAACAAGGGAGAGGCAGGGACAGGTTTATGCTGCGAAGGGAGGGAAGGAGACAGGTCAGGAGAGTAGGGAGGATGTCGGAGAAGGACAGAAGTGGGAAGAGAAGGGGCACATTTAAGGCTTATGAGGCAAGATGGGCAGGACAGGCATGGTCGCTGATGGTCAAATTTGGCTCCAACAGTCCCACTGGAGCGCCTGTGATCTGTGTGGCCTCGAGGGGGGCGGTGGGGGGGTGGAGCTGGGGTTAGTGACACAATTTTCACTTGGGGCAGTGTTGTAAAGGACATCCTGACATCTGAGAGGTCTAGTCTTTCCTAGCCTTCCCGTTTCGGTACTCTCTCTGGGAACGCTTGGGGACATCCCCTGGCCTCAGTTTCGCCTCTGTAAAACAGAGCACATCTCTTGATCTCTAAGGGCCCTTTACCTGGGTGACTTCAGGTTTGAAAAAGTGCCTCCTTCAGGTCCCTGGGGCTCTGCCTTCCACTTACTCCACCTCACATTTCTTTCTGAAACCCTGGTCTCTTTCTGAGGCCAAGAGGCTGCTCAGGCAGATGGAGGCCTCAAAGTATTGGGTCGAGTAGAGGTGATTGATGTGGCCAACACCCAATAAGTGTTCAGATGCTTCCCGACTGCCATTACGTGCCCCTCCCCACCTGCTTCCTGGGACCCAGCTTTTCATGGCTCTTCAAAGGCGGATCCCTCAAGACTTCAAGGGAACGTTCTGAGCCAAGCCCCAGCCCTGGGGGCGGTGGGGGTTGGGGGGGTGTGGAGGAGCGTGGGCAAAGACGCTAAGGTGGGAATCGAGGGTGTAAGGAGAAAGAGTGTAGAGAGGAATAATGGGGAAGGAACTGGAAAGATGAGTCTTCAGCGAGTGGTGCGCATTTCAGAAGCGCAAACCATAGGAGCGCGTTCTAGGAGATGTGGGGAGCGATGGCAGTTTCAGGAACAACGAAAAAGGAAGTTTAAAGGAGTGGTCGCCGCTGTCGAGGGATGAAGTGAGAACACACAGGAGGAGGCCCGCGACGGATAGAATGAGGTATATGTGATGAGATGCACGGTAGGTCTCACACTGGAGTCCCAGGGGCCAAATTCAAGTCTCAGACGTTTGGTTTGGCTTACGCCCCCCCCCCCCCCCCCCCATGGGCACCCTGTGTTTGAGATCTGAGTACGCGTGATGGGGAGCTCAGTTGGGAAGGTGGCCGCACGACTCTGGGTCTCACATTTCCTCATAGAACCGTATCGGTTTTGAATTAGACTGTTCACTAACTTTGCCTCATTTTAGAGATGGGATAAAACAGGACTGGGGAGGGCAAGCCCCTTCGAGGTCGCTCAGCGGCCAACGGCAAACGTCCCTCTTCCTGCTGCTCAGTAACTCTCGCACAGAAGTTAGGGCCACCATTGCTTTTATTTGTTGCTTTGGGTGTAGAAAAAGCAGGAGCTCCAGATGTGTCGGCGAGCCCTCGGTTAGCCAGAGCTCCTGGTGGTGGGCGGAGCTCTGGGAAAAGGAGGGGAAGGTGTGAGGAGGTTCCTCATTGGCCAGAACTCAGAGGCCGAAGCCCATTCGTTGGAACTCCGGTTGGGAATGGAATTCCGAGATGGTTGGATAGAGCCCCTAGGTGGCCTAACCCCTCTAGTGGAGCTGGGGGGTGTGGCTGGGCGGACCCCCGACAGGCGGAGTCCTCCCTTTGGCTGGGGCTCCAGCAGTCGGCGGCGAGCAGCCCCGACGCCTATTTCTGGGCGGGGATCATGTCGTCGATGGACTGGCCCTTTTCCAGCTTCTTCTCCATCTCCACCATGAGCTTCACACCGTCCACCACCAGTTGCACCTGTTCGACTTCGGACGAGCCCAGCCGATCCGCGTTGGATATGTCGAACACTGAGCCCACAGCAGCTGTGTCCACACCGCCTGCAGGAGCAGAAGGCAGGGGCATAAGCAGGGAGCAGAGGTGCAGGACTGGGGCCCAGGATGCGGCCCCCGTGCCAGCGGAGAAGGCCGAACGTACTGGGCGCCTACTGTGGAACCGGTTACGTGCACTGAGTCTCCTAAATGTACATTCGTGGGCTCACGTCTCCGGCTAATTTAGATTCCTTTCCCCTCAACCATCCAACATGAAAACATAGCCCTACGGCTTGAGCGAGTTCCGGAGCCCGGCCGTCTGGGGTTGAACACTGACCGTCCTCTCCTTTACACATGGGAAACCGAGGGCCCTAGGGGGCAGGGGACATCCACAATGTCATGACGTCCTATCGATTCCTATGAGACAAAGCGTGCTGACGCCCATTTACAGAGGAAGAAACTGAGGCCCACCGAGGGGTAGCCCTGGTCCCCCCCAGAACCTGCGTGGATGCCCCGCCTCCCCCTCCGCACAGGGCCCGCCCCCGACGCCGCGGCGCGCGGAGGCAGAGCCGCACCTGTGCCGCGCTTCTGCAGGCGCAGACGGGTGAGGATCTCCTCGAACTTGGGGTGCTTGCTCAGGTGCGCCAGCTTGACAAGCACGCCTCCACGCAGCCCGGTGCCCAGGTTGGACGGGCAGGTGAGCACGTAGCCCAGGTGCTCGTTCCACATGAAGGGGTGGCCGGCTTTCTTGAAGATCTCCTCAATCTGAGGTAAGGGGAGAGGACTAGGGTCAGCGCCAGCGGGCGCCCCCAAATACACCGGCAACCGGGACGGGGTTGGGAGGAAGACTGGGTGAGGACGTGGGTGGGGGGTGGGGTTGGGAAACTGCCAGCGCTGAGCTTCTGAAGGGAAGGGCAGGACCACCCAGGTGATGCAAGATGCGGAGGGGGCTGGGCTTGAGGACGCCTCCGAGGCGGGCTCTTAGGGGCGGGGCTTGCGCACGGGGTGGAGCCGGGTTGCCCCGGCGGGGCGGAGTCTTGGGAAGCGGGCGGGGCGTTCAAGGTCGGGGCGTCCCAGGTCCGCAGCGAGGGGCAGGCTACCCACCTTCTGCAGCCCCACGCAGAAGCGGCGGAAAACCTCCTTCATGTTGCCCCCCTTCTCCATGGAGATGACTCGGAGGTGGTCCTCCTCGTTCACCCACACCAGGAAGCTCTTGTTGTCATTGTGCCTAGTGTGGGGCAAGAAGAGGCCAGGGCATCAGTTCCGCGTGGCCACCCCACTCCCGGCCTCTCGAAAACACCCCCACCGCTAGGGGGCAGCGGGCCGGAGGAGTTTCGGGTGGTGGCACCCTTCCTCAAAGTCGCAGAAGCTTTACCCCCGTAGACCCGAACGTCATCGGATCTGAGGAATCGCCAATCTAATTAGGATCAAAGGTTTTTAGGGTCTTAAGTCTGAACAGCATTAAATTACAGACGCTTACAATCTCAGAATCTTTGAAGAACAGAAGCTGGGAGTCTGAATTGATAAATCTTGGAAATCCTACATCTGGTCTCAGGGACCAACCTTGCCTTCACCTTGTGACATGTCAGAAACAGAGGCTTAGAGCCATAAAACATTTAGATCTGGAAATGTCTGAAACCACGGAATCACAGAACCTGGAATTAGTGGAATCTGAGAACCTAAAAATACTCAAAATCTTGGAACCTTAGAATCATCTCATCTGTATATCTTGGAACTCAGACTCTCCAAATCATCTGAGACCTAAGTTTTCAAAACCTTTGAAAATCTTTCGCTATCAGAATTGGGGATTCAAAGGTTCACAGAAAGAAACTATAAGCAACCGTAAAAGATAAAACTAATAGCCAATGTTGGGCACTTACTATATCCCAGACACCATTTTCATTAGTGCTCTCCATGTTACAGATGGGGAAACCAGGGGAGAGAAATGTTAAAATAATGTGCCCAAGATCACACAGGGGTGGAAGGCAAGGTCAGTTTTCTGGGGATGCCTGGAAACATCGTCGTTTTTATGGTGTTGGCTTTGGTAGAGGAATAGGGAGGCTGGCGGAGGGGACCTCACCAGATGCCACGGGCGTCGGGCCAGTCCCGGGCCATGCCAGAGGCCAGCAGCAGTGGGGACACGGGCTTGTCGAACAGGAAGTGATCGTCAATGAGTTGCTGCTGCTCCTGCTCGGTCATGCTCTTCAGAGGGTAGTACTTCCCCTTGAACTCGCCTGTCAGGCTGTTGAGGGCTAAGGGGGGCCACACAAGGGAGTGGTCAGCAGCCTGCCCACCACAGCCTGGGCGCGGATGCTGGGGGCTTGGTCCTGTGGATGTGTTAATGGCATCTGAACACTAGGGCGAAACCCAGATTTTGCATAGATTCTCCCCTTCCTTGACCTTCACATCCCATCCACCTGTGACCAACCGTGTGCTGAAGCCCCTCCAGTTGGCCAACAAGATGGACAGTCAACATGTTAGGAATTTGGAAAGCCCTCCGTAAAAATTATTATAAAATAGCATATGTAGGGGTGTCTGGGCGGCTCAGTGGGTTAAGCCTCTGCCTTTGGCTCAGGTCATGATCTCAGGGTCCTGGGATCAAGCCGCGAATCAGGCTCTCTGCTCAGCAGGGAGCCAGCTTCCTCCTCTCTCTCTGCCTGCCTCTCTGCCTACTTGTGATCTCTGTCTGTCAAGTAAATAAATAAAATCTAAAAAAAAATTGTTATTATTAAAAAAATAGCATATGTAGTATTTGTATATATTCATATATAGAATAAATATATATATTTATATACACATTAGACACTTCAATATAGTGTATTATATAATGCTATATATCACATACTTTATACTATATTATATTGTTAAAAATAATTTATCTAGGGGCGCCTGGGTGGCTCAGTTGGTTAAGCGACTGCCTTCAGCTCAGGTGGTGATCCTGGAGTCCTGGGTCCGAGTCCCACATCAGGCTCCCTGCTCAGCAGAGAGTCTGCTTCTCCCTCTGACCCTCCTCACTCTCATGCTCTCTTGCTCTCTCTCCCTCTCTCATCTCTCTCTCTAATAAAAAACTAAAATCTTAAAAAACAAATTTTATCTAGGGGCACCTGGCTGCCTCAGTCGGTAGAACACACAACCCTTGATGTCAGGGTCGTGAGTTTGAGCCCCATGTTGGGCGTAAAGCCTACTTAAAAAATAATAATAATAATAATTTATGTAAACTTCCAGTTAAATAAATTATATTTTAAAACAACTAATAGGGGGCATCTGAGTGGCTCAGTCAGTTAAGCATCTGACTCTTGATTTCAGCTCAGGTCGTGATCTCAGGGTTGTGAGATCAAGCCCTGCACTGGGCTCTCTGCTGGGTGTGGAGCCTGCTTAAGATTCTCTCTCCCTGGGGCGCCTGGGTGGCTCGGTGGGTTAAGGCTTCTGCCTTCAGCTCAGGTCATGATCCCAGGGTCCTGGGATTGAGCCCCGAGTCAGGCTCTCTGCTCGGCAGGGAGCCTGCTTCCTCCTCTCTCTCTCTCTGCCTACTTGTGATCTGTTTGTCAAAAAAAAAAAAAAAAAGATTCTCTCTCCCTCTGCCCCTCCTCTCTCTCTCTCTCTAAAAATAAATAAATAAATAAAGTTTTTTAAAAACCCACAGGTAGTAAATATTCAAAATGGTTACTTCCTAATTATTTTATTGCATCTTTATTATCTACATTCTTGAAGATTTTTCGTCCCTATCTGATGATGGGAATCCCATGTACCGAGGTGCATCTCTTCCCATCTCTCTGTGACATCATGTTCATAGCTTAAAATTGGTCATGGTAGGAGAATTTACACCTTGGAAACTGGCAGTTGGTGCAAATTGGGGCTGGTTTTTTGGTTTGGTTGGTTGGGGTTTTTTGTTTGTTTTTGTCTTTGTTTTGCAAGCTGGGTGTTAAACATTTACTAGAACAAGGCGCTTGAAAGGCCTAATGATTCTACCGCTCAAACCTACCCATTCTTTTTCTACTTTCTACTTTCTTTTTCTTTCTACTTTCTTTTTCCACTGTCTACCCTTCGCCCCAGAGCCCGGACCACTGTGGTTGCCCCCTTACAGTCTCTCTGCTCCTACCTCTGCCCACAGTCTGTTCCCCACTCAACAGCCAGAGGACTCCATGAAATTCTGTGGACTTACTCTTCTCACCATCCTCCCAAGGTGCCCATCTCCCTCAGAGTCAAAGCCAAAGCCCTCCAGATGGCCCACAAGGCTCTGCAGAGCTGGCCACCCATATCCTTCTGAACACATCTCCTCCCCTGGTCCACTCAGCTCCAGCCACACTTTCCCACCTCAGGGCCTTTGCACTTGCCACTCCACCTGCCTGGAATTCTTCAGGTTCCTTCTTGTCAATCAGGTCTCAACCCCTCCTTTCTTTCTTTCTTTCTTTTTTAAAAATTTAATTAATTTGAGAGAATGAGAGAGAGAGAGAGAGAGAGAGAGAGCAGGAGAGGAAAGCAGGTCAGAGGGAGAAGCAGACTCCCTGCTGAGCAGGGAGCCCTATGTGGGACTCAATCCTAGGACTCCAGGATCACGACCTGAGCCAAAGGCAGTCGCTTAACCAACTGAGCCGCCCCGGCATCCCTCAAGCTTTCCTTTCTAGGAGAGCTCCTCCCAGTCATGCCGAGATGCACCTTTGTTTTTTGGCTACATGGTATGTTGGAATTCATCATTCTTTTGTTGGTTTCTGTGTTTCCTCTTATCTCCCCACCAGGCTGACAGCTCTGTGAGAGCTGTGACCTTGTCCATCTTATTCATCACGGGAGCCCCAGCTCCCTACTCAGGACGATAACAACCGTAATGATTGCTGGCTGGCTGGCTGGAAGGATGGAGGTCAGGACCCCGATACCACTGAGGGTCTGCCTGGTTGTGCGCTGGGTGCCTTGTCAGCGCCCCCTGGCTTCCACCAGGGGTAATGCTGCCGGCCGTCACTCATCCAGCACCTATGACTACCAAACTCTTTCCATGGAGAAGCAGAGCCAGAGCTGGGTGGCCCCAAGGGTGGGCGGGGTGGGGGTTCTCACCTTCCACGGAGAATTTCTCCACGGCCCGGCGCTCGCCCCGGGAGCAGTGGGGAGGCAGGGTGTAGCCCTTGATGCTGCGGCCCGTGCGGACGCGGCTGCTGAGTACATAGTTGGGGTCCAAGTCGTCTCCACCCTGGAGGGCAGGAGGGTGGTCAGGGATGGGCATGCTCCCAGTTCTAACTCTCTGCTACTTCCTTTGGCTCCTTCTTGTCCCCAGGCTTCTCCCACCGCCACCCAGATTCTGCCTCTCCCCCTCTGTCTCTCCCTCCATCTTTCTCCCAGCTCCTCATCTGTCCCTCTTTTTTCCATCCATACATCTCTTTCCCCATCTTTGTCCCCGCTTCCTGTTTCTCTTCATCTCCTTCCCTGTCTCTCTTCCCATCTGACTCTCCTTGCTCTGTCCTTGGTCTCTCTGTCTTCTGTGCCTCGCTGTCCCTCTTTCCCTCCCCTCTGTCTCTGTCTCTCTGAATGCTCCTTCCCACCTGCGTCCTTCTCTCTCTCTCCCCTGTCCCTCCCCTGGTCTGGGGGCAGCTGACCTTGAGGTTCTCGTGGTTGAGGTCGGTCTTGTGCTTGTCAGTGGGTTTGTAACCCCCATGCCGGTCTTGGATGATGGGGTCAAAGAGATCCTTGAACACCTGGTAGGACTCCTCGTCACCAGCCACACAGCCCACGGTCATGATGAAGGGGTGACCTGGGGGTTCAGGGTGAGGTCAGAGGTGCTTGTCCCCAGCAAGGAAGGCCCGGGCTCCTGAGTCCAGTGTAGACTGTATGTGCATGTGCGTGTGTGTGTGTGTGTGTGTGTGTCTTGGCAGGTTCTCATTCAAGACCTCTGGGTCAGAACTACAGAGGATGAGGGTTGGTTGGACAGAGCAGGAAGGCTGGGAGAGGTCAAGGGGATATCTGGGCTGAGGAAAAGGTGCTGGAGGCAGGGCAAAGGAGAAAGTCTTAGAGGCCCAGTTATAAATTACCAAAAATATTACCACTTCAGAGTCCCCAAATCACGGACTCTTCCTTCACTGAAAAACTTTCAGAAACATATTAGACTATCGGCTCCCACGGATAATAAGAGACTTGAAAGACCCTCGTATTCCCAGGTGGGGAAACAGAGGCCCAGAGAGAAGGGGCATCGCTCCTCAATCACACAATGAGTTGGAGGCTAGAACCCCCCTCGGGGCTCTGGTGTCCTTGGAGAAAGAACCAGGGCACCAATGACATCCCCTGCCAGACCCTGAGTGCGTGCTTTGTCCCCACCGCTGCTCCAAGCCCTGTAGGTGTGCTGACTCCTTTGTTTTCATGACGTGGGTGCCCATTTTTCAGATGTGGAAACTGAGGCCCCCGGGAGACGGAATGATTTCTTCATATCTTACTTGTGCGTTTGCGAGGGGTTGGCCACGCGCTGGGGCCCGTCCCGAGCCCTTCATACATGTAGCCTTATTTGTTTCTCACAACAGACCCTCGAGCATGGCTCCCATCTTCCAGATGGGAAAACGGAGGTCCGGGGAGGTGGGACCAAGGTGTGGCAGGCACCTCTGGAGCCCCCACCCCAGCTGAGTCCCTGTCCACACTCCAGCAAGGAGGCTCACCTGGGTTGTCCACACCGGTCTGGATGACATCGTCCAGGGTGAAGCCCGATGGAGTCTCCTTGTCCCGCAGCTTCTTGTAGAGCTCCAGGGTCAGCACCCTGGCCATGTGGTTGTTGTGCTTGCTGAGGTCGGGGTACTCCTCCTCAGGCTTGTAGTTCAGCTTGAACTTGTTGTGGGTGTTACCGAACGGCATGGTGGCGGCGTGGGGGGCCTAGTGGGCAGGGGCAGGTTGCCGGGGGAAAGGTTAACTCGCCTCCAGCAGAGGCCAACAAGGGAACAGAGCAAGGCTTTGGGGTCAGACCCAGTCCTGACTCAGGTGCTGTGTGACTTGGAACAAGAAGGATCTTGTCTCTGAGCCCCTGTGACTTGACGGGATGCATGGGGACTCTGGGTCAGATCCAGCTCTGCCACATACAAGAAGCTGTGTGACCTTGGGTACTCAGCTTAACCTCTCTGTGCCTCAGATTACTCATGTGTACAGTGGGGGTCACAGGAGCCCTCATCTCAGGGGCTTAAAGGAGTTCGTGTACATTAAGCGCTTGGGATAGTCCTGGCACACAATAAGCAATATTTTGCTTAGCTATTATTATGATTATCGTCGCTATTATTTTAAAGGTCTGTGTGAGGAGCTGGGGAGAAGGTGGCTGAGAATGAGTGTGTGAGCAGAGAAGGGACATTCTCTCCACGAAGCTTCTGCTTAGGGGATGAGGAGCAGGGCAGAAGGGAAGGCTGGGTGGCCAGACCCTCTCTTCACTGGCAGTCTCTGGCAGGCCTTAGTTGAGAAGGAAAGCCCAGCCTCCGGGGTCATCAGAGCTGGGTTCGAATCCTGCCTGTGCCAAATCCCCTGCTGTGGGACCCCAAGCCAGGTGCTCAGCCTCTCTGAGCCTCTTTTGCTTAGAAACTGAGCCTGGCCCCGGGGGTTGCCAAGAGGAGTCTTCTGGAGCATTGACGCGGCAGGCTGCGCACATGTCCTCACTCGGAGCTGGGTCTTGCTACCTTGAGGGGTGGTTGCTGTGACGGTTATTATTACTTTAATTCATAAGACCCAGGAAGGAGGAGGAGGGATGCTTCAGTGGTGGTGGTGGTGGTGGTGGGAGTTGGAGCTCGCTGGCAGCTCCAGGGACAGGAAGCAGGTAGAATGGTAGAAAGGAAATTGGGGGGCAGGATCAGCTGAAGCCTGAGGCATCAGGCTGGGGCAGATGGAATTCACGAGAAGAAAGATCCTTGGAGCTACTCTCCAGGGCTGGGGATTATTTATAGAATCTGGCTGCTCCTCCTCCCCTCCCCAGCTGCTGTCCCCCCCACACCCCCCTCACATTCCTGGGGCTCCATTTGCACCAAGTCAGCAGCCTGGAGACAGGTGGGCCGGAGTGGCCGGGAGGACATGCATCGAGGCCTCCAGGCTCAACGGCTTCCAGCCCAGAAACCCCCAGCCTGCGAGGGGCGCGTTCGCAGAGGGCGCTGAGGCAGGCTGGGGGAGCCCCGGAGCCTGACGCACACGCGTCACCCATAACCCCCCAGATCACACCATAAATAGAGTCACACACCCGCTTCCAAGCCCGGGGACACACCCAGGAGACAGGCAGCCATGCAGGTGCCACAGAAAGTCAGATGCAAGGTCACAACTCCGTGTGGGAACAACTGGGGACCCACAGAATTGCAAATGCAGTGACCCCGCAGACAAGATGACAGATAGACCCCTCCCACCGGGCTTCCAGCACCCAGCGCTGGGGACAAGCCATCACAAACACAGGCCCAGTCGGGGTGACAGCTGGCAGCTGCTGAAACTCCTTTTGTCTCCAAGATCCCTCCCCATGACCTCATGCCACAGACCAGGGGTCTCACAGGTGGAGGGGACTCCCACGCGCACGGTCAACCTTCCCACCCACTGACCCGCCTGCATGGAGGAGGATATGGGGCAGACTCCCGGGACCAGATCAGCTGCTGGTCCCATGGGCTCCAGTCTGTACCCCACCCTGACTCCCACCCACGACAGTACCTGGCTGGGCTGTGCGGTAAGGGGCTGTCTGTATCCCGGAGGCGACACTGACCCAAAGGAAGGGCCCGCAGCCCCGGCCTTATATAGGGGGGCCGGGCTGTGCTAC